CTTGACGACTGCCAATCATTCATGGATCTTGACGACTGCCAATCATGGATCTTGACGACTGCCAATCAGCCCCAGCAATGGGAGAAGACTTCGCGTTACCAACGGGCCTAAGGTAGCTCAGTTGGTACACCCACGAACTGTTGAAATAGGAATCAGACCCAAGTTCGAATCCAGATACAAAACATTGATTGTGAGTTACCTGGGGCTGGTCAACTGAGTGCTGATATCACAAGGCCGCCACCCTTACCCAAAAAAAAAAAAAAAGAGACTTCGCGGACGTCACACCCAAGGCCATTGTCAGGTTAAGGGTACACATGGCAAAGAGGCACGTTGAATCTGCTGCTGCTGATGGATGACGATTATTGGATAATGCGTGGAGGTGGTGATTGTGTGTAGTCTGAGGAGCACTCAGCACAATGCTCGGGAGATATGGCGACTCCAAGAGGCGGTGGAGTTTCAGAGGGTGAGGATGAAGTCAAGTGGAAGACAGGAGATCTCTCTGTCATCCTTCTTGCTACTGCCGGTGATGAGGGAGGGGTCACGTCTACAGCTGCGGCCGAAGCCGCCGCAACTGCTAGCCAAGAGAAGGCGGAGCAACGACCCGCAGGCGATCAGTCTCAGCAACATAGTCCTCGCGAGATAGACCATGCAATATCTTCTTCTTCCGTGACGGCGGCATCGGAGGTGGCGGCGGCGCCAGCAACAGGAGAAGTCGACGGCGGTAATGCGCACTACGAAACGAGCATCGAGGATCAGGGAAGACCATTCAACAGACGGTCAATCGGAGAGAGGAACAGGGATACACACGAGGAGGCGCCGCCGGAAAATGTGGCTGTCAGCCGCCAAGTCGGCAGATCTGGTGCGCAGCGGCGTGTAGTCCTGGGTGGTGTCCAGCTAGGAACAAGAGGAGGAAGAGGAGGAGAAGGACGACGACCAAAGGTCACTATGGCTGCGTGGGCGTTCCACCACGGCAGCAGGTTATTGAATAAGACGCCCGGCATTCTCGACAGATTGACTCAGGGAGAAACTTGCCGCGATTCAGGCGTTCCTTGCCAACGGTTGAGTCATCAACAGTTGATCCTCAAGAATTACTTCCCGATGGCGCCTCTTCCCCTTGCTGTTCCCCCTCCTCCCCCTCGTCCTGCTCCGTTTCTTTCCTTGGAACAGGGTAAGGACCAGCGAGAACAACCAGCGAAGAAGACGACCCTGGTTAACGACGCCATCGCCGGTTCCTATGCATCAGCTCACTCCGACCTTGAGACGGATCTTCAAGAGTCCCGAGGGACTCTGAGAGGAAGGAGGACGGCATGGGAACCTTCAAATGGTGGACCAGTCGACATCCTATTCCACCGCACAGGGAATGAACTCGAAATCCTCAAAAAGACAGAGGAAGGGAAGCAGAGCGGAGAGGAGAAAGCTGAGGAGGAGAGCCGAGAGGAGAAAGCTGAGGAGAGCGGAGAGGAGAAAGCTGAGGAGGAGMGCGGAGAGGAGAAAGCTGAGGAGGAGAGCGGAGAGAAGAAAGCTGAGGAGGAGAGCGGAGAGGAGAAAGCTGAGGAGGAGAGCGGAGAGGAGAAAGCTGAGGGGGGGAAGCATGAGGAAGATGCGTCTATGAAGTCCGTCCATCACCAAGATGGCTATGGCGTTCACTCAGTCAACGACTTCGAGTCTATGGACGAACCATTGCCGAGTGCTATCTTGTGGAGAAAGCATCAGTCCCACTTTGCAGTCCCAGACAAGGAACAGGATGTCAGTGGTACAAGAGCCTATGCCGATGAGTGCCAGAGGCTAGGTGTTATCCCGGTGCTCGCGGTGACTCATCAGCTTGCGGGAGATCATATAAATCTGGCCCACTTCGCGCTTGGCGATGGTGGCGGGGCCGCGCTGGCCGCAGCACTCCGCATCAATTCTTCTATCCAGACACTCAACCTTCCACATTGTTCGTTGGGTCACAGGTTGGTTGCCTTCCACTGTTTTCCCCCTTGATCTCGTCCTTCTTTCCCCTCGCCAAATTCCTCGGGCCTACCCGCCCTTGCGCCTACCGGTAGTACGAGTAAGCTTGCTTAGTCGACCCCTCCAGTGTTGCCTCTGTATTGCACTGCAGCAGAGTGCGGCGCAGCCCAAAAAAAAAAAAAAAAAAAAAAAGCACACTACCGGTAGCTCAAGGCATCCTTTTTTTTTTTTTTTTTTTTCCAAAGAACACCTGCCGGTTCGCTAGTGGTGCTGATACGAGCAGACACCACTAGCACCAAGGCATCCTCACATTACGAGCTTTTAACTAATTATTGGACGTAATTGCGGTCAGATGCATCCAGATCGGGCAGGTCGGTTAGCAAGTTTCAAAGAAACTAGAAGCTTTAATTCCAAATATGCAACAATCTTCCTTCTGGAAGACGTAAGGATTCTCCCGGTTCTCTAGGGGTTAATTTGCCTACTAAAACATCTCCAGTTTTTACCCAAGAACCTAATGAAATTAATCCATTAACATCTAGATTGCGTACGCGTTGTTCGCAGCCCGTCAGTCAGGGTTGCGTTTTCCCCCCTGAGACATTTCAACGTCAATCAAATTTCAACGTCGGTGGTTGTCGGGAGGGTGGGCATTTTGAGGTTTTGGGGCCTTGCAAGGGCCAGGACTGCGTAGGCCCGGTAGCTGCGCGTAGGAGGCCGAGGAGGCCGCAGTCTTTTTTCGAAATTGAAACGGTGCGGTAATTCTGCTTATGCAGGACCGTTCGCAAGGTCAATCAGGAAAATCAAAGTGACTCATGCGCCACAGACTCAAGACAAACAACCATAGAATGACCGTAAGGACACAGAATCAGACATAGCTTTGACAAAAAAAACGAACGTGAGGGTTGCTTAAACCACCAGTACCTAGCGGGTCTTAAGGCCCGTGGCTCAGGCTACCGGTAGCCCGGTCGTTCCCGAGCCTCAGACTTTATTGCCGAGCCTCGGACAACCAGTAGGACATCACGGAAAACAAAAAAACAAAACAAAAACAAAAAAAAACAGAAAAAGTACATACAATGTTCAGCAAGAAAAAAAAAAAAAAAAAAAAAAGGAAATCAGACGTGCCCTGTGAGAATGAATCTTCCTCGATCGAAATTCATCAAACAGTCTCCGCTCATTCTCTCAGTAGCTTAGCCTCTTTACCCTGTTTCCTTAGCGCAACGCCCTTCACCTTCTTTTTCCCCCCAAAATCGATAACCCAGTCAACTGCATTCAGGATCGAATCATGCGGTAAATTGGAAAACATCTCTTTAATATAAAATGAAGCACCCAACAGACACTCCTTCCCCACTGCCTTATTGATTCTTCCAATCTCCCTCCATAAGCTTGTCTGCACTCTTCAAGTTCAAGTTGAAGCCCTTTGGTAGGTTCCAAAGCAGCTGGTTGATTGCTCTGGACACCATCTTGCTGCCCTTTGCCGAGCCTTCCGAATACGAAGGACAGATCGGTCGCCATCGAGTTACGTCCTTGTGCTTCGGTAAGCAGTACGCTTTGCCCGAAGCTCTGTCCTTTTTCCATGCTCCCACGGTCGACAATCCTAACTCCTTGTACCTAACCCAGCACCTTTGCACAATCTCTTTTTCATCACAGTGGATAATTTTGAACGCAGGATTGCCAAAAAACAAGGTAGACATTCCAACCTCATAAACTTGCGGGCAACAGACAAAGGTGTCGCCCATATTGTGGTCCAGCGGGCAGCACACAAGCCCTTCGAACAGTGGTAGCAGCTCTCGTAGGTCGTGATCCCCCAAACACTTCTTAAACTCCGTGCTAGCCTGTGAAAAACACGAATCTACTCCCTGGAAGCAACGACCGTCAACTGGCGGCAGGGAGGGGTGGGCCTGAAAAGCCTTCAAGAGTTCCTTGCTTATTGATAAACACCGGTCTTGCTCAGACGGTTTCAACACATTCTTCGACATTTTGACCCACTTTGGTAATTCCCCTACCTCGCTTAGTCTACATGCCACATGCCCGTCGACTCTTGTAAATCTAGAATCCGCTTCCTCACAGCAACAGGAAAACACACTGCTCCTTGCAACCCGTCGAAAATTATGAATTCTATCAGCTATAGATTTATTTCGACACCAAACGACTCTCATTCTTCTAACCAGCATCTTCTTTCATGCTTTGGAAATCTCCATTTTCATAATGATCTGAGCGCAAAAATGACCAACCTTACTTTTACTCACCCGATCATCAAACGACAACTTCACTACTAGCCTTTGACGGACCCGCAACCCAAATTTGTTCTGAATAACGTTTGACAGAAAATACCGCAGCCTACAACGTGTCCGCTTCTCGCCAAAAGTACGTACGACAGTATAAGCATACACTAAATTATCCAACCCCCAACTCACAAGTTTTTTTTTTCTTCATCGGACACTGCAATACTTCGACCAACGGCCCCTTCAAGGACAGAGACTTACTTAAAAATGGAATAACCTTAATGACATGAAAACACGTTCCTCCCAATAGCCACCCTCGAGCATGCCTTAGTTCCCCTGTACCAAATTCACAGGTAACAATACTCCCCCCAAACATTCTTCTCACCACCTTCTATTTGTCCACCAATCGATTTCCTCCCTGACACCTAAACATACATTCGTGCAACAAATTTAGTCTGCAATGCTCTAAAATCCGTAGCAGGCTTCCCGTCACCAGTCCGAAAGTTGTCCGAAAACTGAGCAGTCCTCCTCCTCTGGTCTTCTCCATCCGTTAACTGAGCAGTCTCTCTACCCTAATGCCCCGACTTCCAGAGCGAAGGTGTCCTCCCTGATTAAGTGTCTTTCCACATGTTGGAAGCCGCTTATCCTTATGTCCATCTCTTTTGGATATGTCAAAAAAGTGATGATGCGTTTGGCAAAAAATATCATCATGAATCCATCCCTGACAGTTGAGACTATTCTGACTGGGGTGAACGGTGCGGATCGGAAAACATTCAAAGAATGCGCGAAGTTGCTCCTCATGAGCAAGTACGTGAAAAAGAGGGGTAGGACTACTGAAGCGACTTCGTCCTCTGGTGCCAAGAGGCCCCGGGGAGAAGGACAAGTTACAATAGATAGATTTGTGAACTCTACCCCTCCCCCTATCCTTTCCTTGAATGTTGCTTCTCCACCGGAGTCGACTATCACAATGGTTGGTGGTAGGAGGGTGAGCCTGCCGGCACAACTTGTCGGGGGTAATGATAAGAATCAGAGGAATGCTCAACTTGCGATCTTCATCACCTGATGAAGCCATTCTCGAGTTCCCCTGTCTATGGATGTGAGCAGGTATGCAGGGGTCACCTGGAAGAAGGACCTTCGGGGAGAATGAGGTGGAGGGTGGTACTTGATAGTTCGAAGGTCTCTGCTAAATTTGTGCATATCCGCTACGTAGGGAGAGTCATGGATGGTATTTGCTTTGCAAAGATTTTTGAGTCTGTCCTGAAACGCTTTGTGAATGCTTCCATTTTGGCCATCTTCCTCTCCACTGTTTTCGGTTCGACGTACGATGATCCTATCGTTCGCTACCTGTACAAACCAACCTCTACCTTCAAATTCTTCAATTTGGTAGACTGCTACGACTTTATGACTGATGAGAAGACCTGCACCTGCAACAAGATTCAGCAGTTTAGACCCTTTCTTTGTCAAGAAGCACGGGACATGTCGCAACCATGCTACAAACCATCTAAACATGTGTTGATAATGAACCCAAAGATTGCTGGAAACTTGGAGCTTGAGAGGACTATTGCTAAGGGTCTTAACCACATCCCTCTAAGATACCCATCTAAATCACAGGCCCTCGAGGCTGTAATGAATGTGTGGGATAACACTATTAGCATTATTGAACAAAAGGAATTTATCCGACCTCATTAGTCAAGCATATGACGAACCTAGTAAAGACTCTGCTTACCAATGAGTTGGGGAAGTCCCCAGTACGACGTTGTACCATGACTGTCCTAACCCAGATCAAAAGCGATGTACGATTCCTCTCTGAACATCTATACATTGTCGGTACTGACAAGGCATGTAATACGCCGTTTTGGTATGCAACCAATTGATTCAGGCACTATCGCTTGAGAGGCAGTCGGGTCCTGACTTCGAGTTTCCAAACATTCACCCTAAGCAAGTAGTTGACGAAGCGATGGATTCATTGAGGGGTTCCTACCTGATGGTAAGAAATGAATCGATTAGCCTCCCATGCATTATGGCAATTTTCAAGCAACACAAAATGACTTTTAGATGGCTTACTAATGCTTCACATTCATTCTTAACTAGTCCAACTATGCTGATTGACACGGTCCTGAAAACTATCAAAGAAGTTGTCATGCGACACTGCCATAAGATGGCAAAAACCACCAACGCATTCCATGGTGTGGACACTACTTTCTGGTGGGTCATTGACTGTGTTCAAGAGTATTGTTTCAATTTACCATCTCATATATTTTCAGTGTTCTCAGCTGACATAACTAAGTGTTTTGAGAACATCCCTATTGATGACACTAATGATGGTTTACTCAGCACCATAACTTTTTTCGTGAAGATGGTCTTTTGTGAGATGAAGAATTCTGAAGGATATACGACTGTCAGATGTACCTATTTGAGGAATGGGAAGGTCAGGTGTGGTTTGTCCAGAGCCCATCTCCCACAAACTGCGAATTCTTTCTCACTGGATGCTGACAAGATCATTGGTCTGTGTCAGTGGATCCTGGCAAAATGTTACACAATTTTTGGGAATTTAGTTTGGAGGCAGGTAAAAGGGATCCCGATGAGACTCCCATGCTCACCCATCTGCTGCAATGTTTACTTTTTCAAATATGAGTATAAATTTATGGTCAGACTTGTCAGGCTTCGTGCATATGATATGGCAATGTTTACTTTTTCAAATATGAGTATGAATTTATGGTCAGACTTGTCAGGCTTCGTGCATATGATATGGCCACATTGTTCAAACTATCCTTTAGATATGT